ACAAGCTTACCCATTCACATGATCAGTTTGAGATTGTATTCAGCATTTCAAAACACTTTTGATTTAACTTTGTTGAAGGTTGGAACCATGTGGTATGAAAATAGACCATACCGGGGGGGGGGGAGGTCAACATGACCTGCCTAATAGATCCATTATTAGACTTCAAGTGTAATTTGGGCTATCTGCAATGCAACAAAGCCTGAAACCATGACCTATTTCTCATGTATATACACCCTTCAAGCTGGTGACGAGGACGTCACATTTGTTTACGTTGTAGCAATTATGTTAGTTATTATGATTATTTATACCATATTCAAGTGTCAAAAATAATATTAGTTATTATGAATGCCTTGTGTATATATGTCATTCTCTCTACTTATAAATTGTTCATACCTGATTAAAATGCAACTCACTACCAAACTGGTGGTTGGCTACTTTGTTGTTTAACGCCGCACTCAGCAATATTCCAGCTATATGAAGGCGGTCTGTAAATAATCGAGTCTGGACCAGACAATCCAGTGATTAATATCAAGAGCATCAATCCACGCAATTGGGATCGATGACATGCATCAACCAAGTCAGCCAACCTGACCATCCGATCCCGTTAGTCGCCTTTTACGACAAGCATGGGTTGCTGAAGACCTATTCTACCCCGGAATCTTCACGGGTCCCACGCAGTTGGGATCGATGACATGCATCAAACAAGTCAGCGAGCCTGACCACCCGATCCCGTTAGTCGCCTTTTACGACAAGCATGGTAAACTGGAAGTAAAAGTTGACGTTGATTTTTAGATACCATTGATTGGTATCTGATATTATGAACAAATCTCCAGCTATTAGGATTTAGGAAAATGTTACCATTAATATTAACAAAATGCATAAAAATGTATAATTTTACCTACTTTTTTAGGTACCAAATTTATTAATAAAATCACTTGTGACAGCACTTAACCTTTCCACAGAATTATGGAAAAACTGTTTTGTAGCAGTGTAATTTATTGTCAAACAATAATTGTAACTGTATTACATGGTACAGTGATCGCTTGCTATTGCGCTACCAATGGGGTCCAAATAATTGGTGGGCGTTATAGACGATGAGCCGTTTAACCGAAGCCGAGGCGGGGGAGCGCGCTCGGCAAATCTCAAATCATCAATAGGCCTATGTGTTTATCTCACGTCACGTCAAAATAGTATATATTTTTATGGACCTAGATCTACCTGTAATATCATTCATTTATTAAATCTGTCATATTTCACAATGTCTGAAATACGTATTCCATTCTAATTTATCATTTTTTATCAATAAATTAAAAAATTATTCACTATTTCCCGCGATGTTATTGAAAATAAAATTCTCGGACACACATTTCGACAACGGGTCCGCATCGAACATGTCAAAGAGCAAAATAAAGACTATTTTAAGCAAATCTTTAAATATATTATACAAAGTGATAAATAAAATCAACAAAAATATATCTAAAAGTAATCAAACTTACATCTAAGTTATTATTTCCATCGTTTTGTGCGATCGCGTGTAATGTAAGTCAAATGACATCTCGGCTTTCGTCGCCTTGAATTCTCGGCTCGGACACAACGTTTAATGCAAAAATATATGCATGAAAAATCTTTGTCACAGCTCGTAACCTAGCACGATACATTCGCGAAGTTCCATATTTTTAATATATATCGTGATTTCCTGCTTAAAACGTTCAGAATAACACGATTTAACAAAAAATCTTTCGCTAACTTCTGAAATTTATCAAACACGAGCTTTGTATCAAAGCTTGATTGGCTGCCTGAGGTCACGTGCTCAAAATTGACCAATCACGAAACTTGTAGCAGATTTCGGCAAGAAAGCGTCATTAGAAACAAATTTTAATCCAATGAAATCGCTTGTTATAACTACGGGGAAAAAACAGGCGATGTTACGAAAGCGCGATTACGAAATGAATGACCGCCGTGTTGTGACAGCAACTACATTTGTGTGACAGTTTAGCCTTAAATTGGATTGCCCACTAATTAAGAATATAAACTTCACTTGTGGTTCTCTTTTATTGCATGCATGCGCTTCTAAGATCAAAGGATGTATAGTGTGAAAAGTTAACTAGTTGAACAATCGTATTTCCGGGACTTGCCGCGGATATTTTCAAACAGATTATTAGAACTCCATTCAGCGATAAACCGTTGATTATGCAATGAGAAGCGTTATGTGCAAATAAACAACGAACAACAATACAATCATGTCTGTGTAAAACTCTCAGTATTAAAAGTGTACATAAATTTTGGGAGCCATGCGTTACCGCGCGTAATAACCGAAGTAGCGCTTTATCGAAGAGCGCAATAGCGAGCGATCACTGTATTACATTATTTCTGTTTAGATTCAGTAGAAGCTTATTGAATTTTATTTTTGGACAATGATTAGTTGTCAGGAATGTAGTACTATTTAATGTAAGCAGTGGTGAGGAAGTTATCATATTTATATGCTTGAATTATCAGTAAACTTCCTGAATAGCATAGATGGATTTCAAGCATTATAGAAACATGTTTGTTTGTTTCACACTAAATTCTTTTACATATAGATTTCTGGTTTAACATATTGTTTCAATTTGGGAATTGACACGAAACCATAAAAATACCAAATTTATTTAAAAAAAATAAATTTTTCTTTAAAAAGGTTAAGGAATAATCCATCTTTGTTCCGTTGACCATTATATATTTCGACCTGTGAAGATCTCGGTAGAGAATTGGTCTTCAGCAACCCATGCTTGCTGTCAGCGGCGACTATGCTTGTCATAAGAGGCGACCAACGAGGTCGAGTAGTCAGGCTCCCTGACTAGGTTAATACATGTCATCGTATCCCAATTGCGTGGATCGATGCTCATGATATCAATCACTGGATTGTCTTGTCCAGACACAATTATTTACAGACCGCCGTCATATAGATGGAATATTGCTGAGTGCGGCTTTAAACAACAAACAAACCCAGTTATATATTTCAGTTGTGTTTATACCCCAGGGATTTATCTAAACCTGCTCATCAGTCTGTATTTCCCCCCCCCCCCCCCACACCCATGTGTCCATCAAATGTCACTCTCCATTCTCAACCCCATGTTTTTTAATAACAAATGTTGTGGCTTTGTAGACAGGACTTATGTCCCAATGACAACAGGAGCAATAAATAGGTACAGGCATTAATGCTTAGAGGGGCACGAGTGGCCCAGTCGTCTAAGGGACCGCGATTCACTGTGCAGAGATGCGTCCCTTTGGCATGCCAAAAACCTATGATTGTGGGTTCGAATCCCGGTTTGCCCCGATTATGTTTCTAGGTTTGTCAGCGCCATTCCCGTGCTTGTGGGTTTCACTGAAGTGGTAAACGTCAGACCTGCTTCACTTCGGGCTTTCTTCCCACATTGAGCTGACACGCCGCGATATAACTGTAATACTGTTAAAAGCTGCGTAAAACCCAACTCACTCACTCATTAATGCTTAGGTTCACATTATTGCATTGAATGCAATGTTAAAAAATACAGTATTAAAATATATTTGAGAACTAAGTACTTTACACAATCATAATGTTGAACGAGATAAAGATTGTTTCCTAATTCCCCTTCCAAGGACACTTAGTCTGGAAGCTGAGATGAGTCTCTATATGTATTGTTTCCTGGTCAAGCACTGTCTGCCTTGATGAGGCCAGTCACAATAGGGAAGGATGCACAGCACAGCTTCAGTACTCGAACAGCGTTACACTGATGCACAGCAGAGAGGAATTGTTGACTCGTGCTGTGTGTATTCCTGTACCTAGATCCTCGTGTCTGGCAATTCTACAGTATCATGCCAGCTGGGCTAGGCATCTGCTTGATGTAGTGCATACACAGTTATATTGCATGGGGTGTATATACGCTGTATACACAGTGAGATGGACAATGGAAATTCAAGAGTATGTTCAGAAACATTGAGATGTTCTGAGATGTACATGTGTTCATCTGTGAAAATGAATAAGTTGGTAATTTCCTTGAAATCTTGGATAACGTTTATTGAAAATGGAAATTCCAGACTGTGATCAGAAACATTGAGATGTTCTGAGATGTACATGTGTTCATCTGTGAAAATGAATAAGTTGGTAATTTCCTTGAAATCTTGGATAATTTGTAATGAAAATGGAAATTCCAGACTGTGATCAGAAACATTGAGATGTTCTGAGATGTACATGTGTTCATATGTGAAAATGAATAAGTTTGTAATTTCCTTGAAATCTTGGATAATTTGTAATGAAAATGGAATTTCAAGACTGTGATCAGAAACATTGAGACTTTCTGAGATGTACATGTGTTCACCTGTGAAAATGAATAAGTTGGTAATTTCCTTGAAATCTTGGATAATTTGTAATGAAAATGGAAATTCCAGACTGTGATCAGAAACATTGAGATGTTCTGAGATGTACATGTGTTCATCTGTGAAAATGAATAAGTTGGTAATTTCCTTGAAATCGTGGATAATTTTTATTGAAAATGGAAATTCCAGACTGTGATCAGAAACATTGAGATGTACATGTGTTCATCTGTGATAATGAACATGGGTTGGTAATTTTCTTGAAATCTTGAATAATTTGCAAGGAATATGGGTAAGGTCAGGATTGTAGAGGGGAAGTAGAAACCATGGAATATGAAACTGTGAAATGTTCATGATTATTTCTCTAACGAACACAATAGAGTGCTGCTCCATATAAGGAAATTGAAAACAGGAAGTGGTTGTGGCGTGTGACGTGCCTGTAGAACGTTCACTTGAAAACCGACAAATGTTCACCCAAACAAGTCTGTTTATTATTGAAGCAATAAAAGAATATGTTAATTATATTTTAATAAAACCACTGCCACAAGTACCAGTTTGACACTTGTCTGAAGTCGGTGTATTTTGGGAATAATGCCCGCTGCTGTTTGCAGGAGTGTGGTTGAGTAACAGGAGGTTTATTTTGAAGCAGACGTCCCACTAGGAAGTAAAATACGCCAGATAAACACTATGAGGAGGAGGGTAGGAGTTTGACAAATGTTGGAGAGAGAATCCTTTCCTCATTATAATGTTCTCACCGTTGTTGGGATGAACGAGTAAAGTCAAGTTGGATGAACCAGCGATGTGGTCATTCTTGTGGTGATGTAGACAGGCTTAGCAGCAATCAATGCTACAGCACCAGCCCAAGCTCCAGTGTTACGTGAGGGCATTGTACGGTGCGTGGATACTATAGATTCCCCGGGACCCTTCCACCACAGTCAGATGATAAACTAAACTCACAGAATTCCACGAGGCATGTCGGCAATTTCATGGATGCCAAGGTGAGAATAGTTAAGACAGTGACGTGTGATCAATCTTGTATACCTGAGGCAGTTCCTCTCCTCTCCGACACAGACAGCTGGTGTTGGTGCAGGTTCAAGGTCGGACAGATCCCAGAATCCTTAGGGTCTTGTCACGATCCTCTTGTTGTGAAATATTTTGTAAATATCAGATGTATGAGCTCATTTGTCTGGATAAGTGATGAGGATGCTAATATAACTATGTACTAATCATTCATTGGTAATATGACAAGTGCATTGTATTTCTGTGGCAACGGAGCTTTGTACTTCGTTATTTTAGTAAATACATATTTAGATAAACAGTTCAAGTTGGCATATGATTCAAAGGCCTTGTGATTTGCCATTTGGCCTTAAAGGTCCTTAAATCTGAATCTACCTTGAAAAGGCCTTGAAATGTGATGAAATGCCTTAAAATGGCCTTGACTTTGGCCAATATTGATAAAAGCTTTTAAATATATATTTTTTAAAATGCTATGTTTTTTTAAAACTTTTTGTAACAACTAAAACAATGACATCTGGTTGACATATAATCTCAGCAAGATACTAGTCCTATGTTTGATTGATAAATATTATTAGAATTGTGAATGAATTATTTGAATGCAACCCATTCTTGCTGAAAAAGGCGACTAATGGGATCGGGTGGTCAGGTTCGTGGACTTGGTTGATGCATGTCATTGTATCCCAATTGCGTGGATCGATGCTCATGATGTGAATCACTGGATTGTTTGGTCTAGACTCGATTATTTACAGACTACCATCATATAGCTGATTGTGTGTTAAGGTACCCTGTGGAGTGAAGATAAGGCCACTGTTATATAACATATTTCCTGGGTCATACGCTCTATCCAAACAATGGAAGTCTCTATTAGAATCCGGGTCTCTCATCCTATTTTCTTCTGTGTAATGTTGGGGATTAATGATGACCATTTCCTGCAAATGCACCCTTTGTATTAGTGTAGAATAAGGGTTTCGGTAAGGTAGTGAGTTGTCGCCGTGCCAGCATTAACACAAAATAGATGCCTTGCCTCTATTAGAGGATATCCGGTAGCTGAAATATGGCATGATGATGTGTGCACTCGGGTTTCATTCTCAGCTTCCTGGGATGTATACAATGCTGCCTGCCTCACATTACCATCTCATCCTACCGGGTACCCAGTTGCTGCTGGGTGACCAGAGGCATATTTTGAATGAAGTCACTTGGCAATGAGACATCACTTATGCTACATGTTCAGTGGACCATCAGATATGCCATGACATGCTTTGCAGACCATTGTGATGTCATTGTTACCGTGATGTCACAATCAGATGACATCACTAATGGCTCTGCTGCTGAAGCTATTGCTAGTATTAGCAGTACCTTTTACACTTTAGACACTGCTTATTACTGTGTACAAACTGAAAAAGTTGGAAGAATGATGTTAGATGATATATAATCTCACCCTCATGTCTTTTGATATGAAATATATCAATACATGTTTATAAAAGTGGAAAAACAACTCGGCAAGCCTCAGGGTTTTTTCACTTTTATCAACTCGTGTTGATACATTTGATATCAAAAGACACTTGGGTGAGATTCTCTATTTAATTGATTGTTCTTGGTATTATAGTCCAGATTTACTCATTTCCAGATTAATGGAGGGGCGGTCGGGTAGCCAAGTGGTTAAAGCGTTCGCTCGTCACGCCGGAGACCCGGGTTCGATTCCCGACATGGGTACAATGTGTGAAGCCCATTTCTGGTGTCCCCCGCCGTGATATTGCTGGAATATTGCTAAAAGCGGCGTAAAACCATACTCACTCACTCCAGATTAATGGATCAAGTTTATCATAGTTAGGCCTTTAAAAACTGAAAATTCAGAGAGAAAAAATAAAATAAAAATGACAAGGTATTTTAAATACCGCCAACTATTTTTAAAAAGGGATTATTATTATTTTTTTTAAATTTTACAATAAATTATCAATCCAAGTCAGATTATATATTTATATTTATTAGGACACAAACCAGTGAACCATTTTTTTTATCACCTTCCCATCTTATAGATGAAAAGAGAACCTGTACTATGCATTTAATTAAAACAATTTCTTAAATGTTACACTCTCAAAATCAGTGAACCCCCCCCCCCCCCAAAAAAAAAAGAAAAGAAGTCTGCCCTTAGGGAGTAAATGTTCTAGCATGTATGTATTTCAAAAGAAGATCATCCTCTGTTAATGGCGTCGTGGGATGTGGAGGCTTTGGGCTTGTTTCATCCTTCTGCTGTGGGCATGTGTGATTATTCCCGGAAAAGCTCATTGTAGACTATAAGGGAGGCCCTTTTTATCATTTTAATTCCATTAAACCATGTAGTTTTTGAGCAGGTGTCCATACAGCTGCCGTCATTATCTTCAAATTTCCATGTGTGAAAAGTTTCCAGGCATCAACTTTCAAAGGTCACGAAGTGCAATGTCTTTGGGTGCTGTACTGTTGTCGGCGCCGTGTTGGTTTGATGTGGAGGTGTAATAGCCATTTCATGTGGAGTTGGCACATGCTGCAGTATTGGCTATGTTGCATGTGATAGGAAGAACTCATTCACAGAGTTGTGTCCCTTTGTTGTGCCAGGATTTACTGATTTCTCATTCCAGATTATGATGTTGGTTTGATGTTGAGATGTAATAGCAAGTTCATGTGGAGTTGGCACATGCTGCAGTATTGGCTATGTTGCATGTGATAGGAAGAACTCTTTCACAGAGTTGTGTCCCTTTGTTGTGCCAGGATTTACTGATTTCTCATTCCAGATTATGATGTTGGTTTGATGTTGAGATGTAATAGCAAGTTCATGTGGAGTTGGCACATGCTGCAGTATTGGCTATGTTGCATGTGATAGGAAGAACTCTTTCACAGAGTTGTGTCCCTTTGTTGTGCCAGGATTGACTGATTTCTCCTTCCAGATTATGATGTTGGTTTGATGTTGAGATGTAATAGTTACTTCATGTGGAGTTGGCATAATATTCTATGTAGCATGTGATAGGAAGAACTCTTTCACAGAGTTTCATCCCTTTGTTGTACCAGGATTCACTGATTTCTCATTCCAGATTATGATCCTTGGTTTGTCAGCATTTCTTCAACAAAAAGGAACCCAATTTAATCACACACTCTGCTGCTTTCGACATCTGTACACTTGATGGATAAACTCTCAAGAATGACATTTGGATGTAACTGAAATGTTAATCAAACTGGTTTATAACTTAATTCACTTGATTCAATCCTTGTTGAATGTCATGCTAATCAAGCTGGTTTATAACCTAATTCACTTGATTCAATCCTTGTGGAGTGTAATGCCAATCAAACTGGTTTATAACCTAATTCACCTGATTCAATCCTTGTTGAGTGTAATGCCAATCAAACTGGTTTATAACCCAATTCACCTGATTCAATCCTTGTTGAATGTAATGCTAATCAAGCTGGTTTATAACCTAATTCACTTGATTCAATCCTTGTTGAATGTAATGCTAATCAGACTGGTTTATAATCTTATTCACCTGATTCAATCCTTGTTGAATGTCATGCTAATCAAACTGCTTTATAATCTAATTCACCTGATTCAATCCTTGTTGAATGTCATGCTAATCAAGCTGGTTTATAACCTAATTCACTTGATTCAATCCTTGTTGAGTGTTATGCCAATCAAACTGGTTTATAACCTAATTCACCTGATTCAATCTTTGTTGAATGTAATGCTAATCAAGCTGGTTTATAACCTCATTCACCTGATTCAATCCTTGTTGAACGTAATGCCAATCAAACTGGTTTATAACCTAATTCACTTGATTCAATCCTTGTTGAGTGTAATGCCAATCAAACTGGTTTATAACCTAATTCACCTGATTCAATCCTTGTTGAATGTAATACGGGGTCATACTTCATGGAGTATTGATTAAATACTTACTGCATGTTATATGGTATCAATACTAACATACCCAACGGCACTATCAATACAATACTGACTGCATGTAATTTGGTACCAGACTTCATGGCATATGTTACTGCATGTTATACGATATCATACTTCACGTCAGTATCGATTAAATAACTGTGCACATGATTCATGTGGTATTTATTTCCTTGATTGAATGGATGAAAATTGTAAGAATCGATTAACCTCCAAGTGTAAGTCAATGTAGAACTTTGTATTTGTCAAACACAATCAGGAGAAAATCTTTATCAGTACACACAAGTCTAATTTCAGCATGAGTCTGTTCTCTATACATGGCTATCTATCAACATGGTTATCTATCAACATGATAGATGTGGTGTAATGCTGAAACAGTTGTTAACATGGTTAAATAATGTCAGAATTTGGATTCTCTCTTAGTTGGGGAAGCATTGTCTCTTCAAGATTTGTTTGTTGTTTAACTTCACATATGACTGCGCTCTGTAAATAATCAAGTCTGGACCAGACAATTCTGTGATTGATATTGTGACCAAGATCCACACTGACATGCTATTAATCATGTGACCGAGCCTGACCGCCCAATCCATGAAGTCACCTCTTACGACCAGAATCATGGTTGCTGGTACCATTTCTGTCCCGGAATCCTCAGGGGTACGACCAGAATCATGGTTGCTGGTACCATTTCTGACCCGGAATCCTCCTGGTACGACCAGAATCATGGTTGCTGGTACCATTTCTAACCCGGAATCCTCCTGGAACGACCAGAATCATGGTTGCTGGTACCATTTCTGACCCGGAATCCTCCTGGTACGACCAGAATCATGGTTGCTGGTACCATTTCTAACCCGGAATCCTCCTGGAACGACCAGAATCATGGTTGCTGGTACCATTTCTGACCCGGAATCCTCCAGGTACGACCAGAATCATGGTTGCTGGTACCATTTCTGACCCGGAATCCTCCTGGTACGACCAGAATCATGGTTGCTGGTACCATTTCTGACCCGGAATCCTCCTGGTACGACCAGAATCATGGTTGCTGGTACCATTTCTAACCCG